GTAAGACAATAATATTTAAGCGACAATTGTATAGTCTGTTTTTCTTCTAATTCTCCTGATAACTCTTGTAGATAGTTGAACGTGGATTCATGACTCAAGCTGATTTTGATGAAGCAAGTATGAAAGCTTTGAGCTTGTTTGAGTTTGGGCAGGTTAGTTACAACTCCTCCGTCTAAAGTCATTGACTATAGTGATTTTCATAATCTCTAAATTGCAGACCACAAGAAATCAGTTTTTAATATATTTTACTGGCTTCAACATGCAAATATTATGCTTTGTTGGAAGGGTCTAATAGATTTTGATTATATCATGCTTGCTTCAGCGGGTTGCCAAGGATCATGGACTGATACTGGTGGACACAAAGTATGAGTTTGGAAGAAGTAGTGATGGCTCAATTTTATTGATTGATGAGGTATGTTATCTTATCTCTTTTTTTCCTTGTTTGTCTTTCTTCGAATGCACAGTTGAATGTATATCTGCACAGCTGCCAAAATCACTGATTATAATCATCATCTACTTGTACACATTGTGAATAGATTCATACACCCGATTCCAGCAGACACTGGCTTGCAAGTTCATATGAAGAGCGCTTTCAAAAAGGCCTGGAGCCTGAAAATGTTGATAAGGTTAGTGATTTTGCCTTTTCTTGCCCTCAGTCAGGTTGCTTTGGTTTGTAGTACTTGGTTCACTCACATGTTCTGTTTCTTTTAATCCAATAGGAGTTCCTAAGATTGTGGTTCAAAGAGAACTGCAATCCGTATGAGGACGAGGTATGCTTACATCCTCCCAATGTAATTTCCATGTTCCTCCTTTATCTGAGAACCTTGCCAAAATTATTGGTGTCTCGATTGCCTATAATTGTCAGATCCTGCCAGCTGCCGCAGCAGAACTCGTGACTGAAATAGCTTGGCGGTATGTATTTTGATCTGTAAACTTTATTATAAGATTGTTCGAGTCGATGCTTTCGATATGGAAAGGTACATTGTATGTGTACATGGTTTATGCTCTGTGAAATCAGACATTCGCTGGACTATGTTAGTTTTAGCTTGAAGTCTTGGTATTAGAAACTGATGCAAGAAACCGTGATGATTGCAGGTACATTTTCTTGTATGAAACTATCACTGGATCAAGAACTGACATTATTCCAACTCAGGTATGATCCTCATCAGTCCCAAAATCTCAACTGAAACTTCGGAGTTTCAAGCGTATTGATCTATAGCTTTGTTTATAGGAACCGATACATGAGCGAATCTCAAGAAACACAAGACAAGCACTTTCATCTCTCCGTCAACTTTGATCTTTGATATAACCTTTTAGCCGAGGCAGAGAGCATGAGTCTGTTTCCTTTTGCATTCCTATGTCCGATTGTTGTGGTTATTGATTATGAATTAAAGACGCTTAAGTTCACTTGAGCAGTCTTACAAATGAAGAAAATTTTGTGAAAAATTTATCCGACTTGGTAAGAAGTTCGTATAAGAATCCATTTGCTTTCATTCTTGAGGCGGGATTGGTGAATTAGAATATATAGTTGTATCAGAGAAGAAAAAGGATCATTCTTGCTTTGGATCTCCCATGTAATATAAATATATAGTTGAAAATGAACAAGACTAAATAGACATTCATCTATATTGACAAATGAAGTAGCTTTGTCCAGAACCAGGGTTTATGACCCGATAAGAAGGTAACAATTACCGATGAACAGACGAAAACTTAAAACTTGAAGGTTTCAGTCACTATATTGTCCTGCCTATCAATGCTTTGTCGAGGTTAGTACTTAGCTGTAATTTCTATTGCAGATTGGCATCCCACAACTGCCTTTTTGGAGATATGTAATATCCAAACTTGTCTCTTTACCCTTCTTTCTGTTCCATGTTATAAAACCGGCTTTACCTTCTACATATAAACAAAATTCTTCTACTTCCTGCTTTTATCAGTCTCTACTTTTCTGCAACCAAATAAATTAAAATCATGTAGTTAATACCAATTAAATTTTGGAGAACCTACAAGTTGCAGTCTGGCTTAAAGTGTCTACCTTTTCACGCTTTCTTTCTGCTTCTATAGAACCTGGAAACTTCCAGTAAGAGGTATTAACAAGTGTTAACAATAGCTATGCGATAATGGGACTGAATTAGGAGAAATTTTGAACTTACCAATTGCTAGGCTGATTGAAGTGAGGATGCTGCCTTATTTTCTGTAGTAACAGAGAGAGTAGCACAATTTTCTTTCTCAAACTCGGGGTCTTGGGTTTCACCGGTCTTCGATGGAGAAGCGAAGAAGCTATCAGGCAGAGCGTTCTCGAGACTTGTCTCTTGCCTTGAGCAAAAATAATAAAAGCACGGATAAGAGTGGATGTATAATTCTACAGAAAATACTTAAAAGCCCTGAAATGATCTTAGTAGCCATACCCTTTGTTGAAATAGTTATTGTAACCATGTTCGTGGCTGCTGTTATGGTCCGTATCACTCAGAAATGCTCGATTTGCTTCAGCCTGAAAATGTCCTGAATCACCATTACCTGGGGAAATCTTCTTCTTGCTGCTCTTCTTTCGATCGTGTCTCGAGCTCCGAGCTGTCGCCGACGACGCGTGGCGTAAACAGAGCAGAGCGAGGAGGGGAACAGAGCATAGCGAAGGCTAATAAGAAGGCAGTTGCTGCTGTTACGGTCGCGGATGGCGTTTTTGTGAAGTGGTGCGATAAATTAGAACTAAACAGAGATTTAACAAACGTCGTCGTTTCGTATGCGTCTCTCGCTTTGCCTGTGGAGATGAGGCCGAGACCGAGAGCGACGAACAGAGTGGTCTTAGCGTCGGCGTTTTGGTTCGGCGTCAAGAACACGATGACGTGGCAGAGTTTGAAGAAAGTGGAAGATGTGACCGGGGTTGCAGCTGGGATGATTCGAGCGGTTGAAAGCAAAATGGCGCGTGCGATGACGCTACAGCTTAGACGGTGGCGCGTGGATTCGGAGGAAGGATGGGCTGAAAACGACAACGTTTGAACAAAATTTCCGTATTTTGCAAATTAGGACATTTATTTTAGAGAAAATTGTGGGGAATACCATGTACATTACCAAATCTTCTTTAAAATGCCATTTTTCATAACTCCTTTCAAAACATGCCATAGATCCAATGTAAAAAGACCATGTTACCCTTTTTCTTTTCTTTCATTATCTCTGTCTTCTTCATCTTCTTTTTCTTCTTCCAACAACAAATAGTTCCAGTTGAACAGATCCGACGGACAAACTCCGGTGGACAAATCCGACAGACAAATCCGACGGACAAACTCAGACGAATTCCGGAGGACCAGATCCAGCAGATGAAATTCGGCGGACCAGATCCAGTGGACTAATTCTGATGGACCAGATCCAGCGAACTAATTCTGGCAGACCAGATCCATCGGACTAATTCCGGCGGACCAGTTCCAATAAACCAGAACTTCGGCGGACGAGTTTCGACCAGAACTTCGGCGGACGAGTTTCGACCAGAACTCCGGCGGACGAGTTCCGGCAGACCATAGTGAGTTCTGGTGACTATAACCAGTTCTCGCAGACCAAATTCGACGGACCAGTTCTGACAGACCAAATAGACGAGTTCCGATAGACAAGATTTGGCAGACCAGTTCAAGTGTACCATAGACAGTTCCGACGAAATATAACCAGTTTCAGCGGACCAGATAGACCAGTTACGATGGACAAGTTGTGGCAGGATTTGATTCAAGTGGATCTGATTCGACGGACCAGATGATAAAACAAGTGATGCGTTTATGGTGAACAAGATTCATTTCTCTATAGATGGACAACATTCGACGAACCAATTTTGGTGGATTAGACTCGAAATAGTTATGTCGGATCAAATCTAGTGGACTAGATATAATGGACCAGATCTTGTGGATAAGATTTCTTTTTTATTTTGATTCTGTTTTTTCAAAACATTTGCCTGAGGACAAAATCGTACATACTAAACTTTTTGTGTCAGGATTTGAAACGAGTTTTCAAAAATGGCATTTAGAGAAGATTGAGTTTAAAAACTGGCATAAAAGACAAAATTCCCTTTATTTTAGTGGTTTAGTGATTAGTTTGAAGTTTGTGTCATAATTAACTTGTTGATTTCTCTTTTTTTTTCAACGTCTAAAATGGTCTTAAAGTGATGAACTAAAAACGTTTAAAATCAATTTGTACTTTCTACTTAAACGATTCAAATTTCGTTATCTAACGTTTTTTAAAAAACAAAAGAAAATTAATATTTATGTTATTATCACACAGATTTTATAAATTAAAAAGAAACTATTTTGTTCTTGTTTCAAATAAGATTCATTATTATCAACAACAAAGGATTAAGAGTAATTCCTAAGGTAATTAATTTCTCTAATCTTTATCTTTTACACACAAAAAAAAAAGAAAAAAAAACCCTTTATATTGAGGTGGTGCGTTTACAAACCCTACTCTGGAAAAGTCCTAAATTCCTAAAGCTGTCCTTTCAACAAAATCGACTGAAGAAGCATCTGAGGCATAGTGAAAGATCGGACTCTTCAAGCTACAATCTTATTCTCCTCTGTATTGAAATCTCACCATGGAAGCTCTCTTTACTTCAACACACATCCCCAATTTACAGACGAGGCCTCTCCTCAAATCTTCGCTGCCCACTTCTTCCCAGTCTTCTTCGTGCTGGTTGTGTAGTTCGCTACCCAAAAAGCAATTCTCGAAGCTGAGAATCAGTAATGGATCAAGTCACGGGCTTCGTGTACAAGCTCTCTTACGTAACGAGACACCAAGTGAAGGCGAAGACAATATGGCTGAGAGTAGTGGGTTTGATTTTTTCTCTGGGGGTGTTTTCTCTTTATCACAGGTACTCTTTTTCTCTCTCTTTGTCTTGTGATGACCACTAAAGATTATAACTTTTGTTGTGGGTATGCAATAATTCAGCAAAAGGTTACAATTTTGTCTACAAAACTTTGGTTTTAATGCAGAGTATGTGTAGAATCGAATCTTGAGATTAGTGCAAATATGAGTTTGAAGTAGATAGTTTACGGGATCGTTTGCTTTGGCATATATATATTAATAGCTTTTAATGTTGTTTGAAGGAAAATCTCGGGAGTAATCTCATTGGTGAAAGTTGTGTAATCGATGTGGATGCTCTTACACATCACCAGGGTGGTGGAGGAAATCGAGCTGGGCTTTTTAGAACTCCAATATCTGGTGGAGTTCAAAATGCAACATCAGCTAATGCGTTACCTCGCCCTGCTTTAGCCGTACGGAACTTGTTGGAACAGGTAAATGGGTTTGTTCTTTAGACTGTTGTATAGTTACTTTCACTTCATGAAGATAGATGATAAACTTTTTTGTCTCTGGTCTTTTTTATTGGTATGATTCAAGGCTAGGTTTGCTCATCTATGCACAGTGATGTCCAAAATGCACCACCGCAGGGAAGGGTACCCATTTGGCTCATTGGTAGATTTTGCGCCTGATCGGATGGGGCGTAAGTTACTGAGCCTTTCTTTCTTGTTGACTGTTCGTAATTCTACCGTCTTGTCCCGTCTTGTCGTTGCACTCTCTGTTTTTCTATAGAATATACTTGTGGACATTTGGTTCCTATGTCTCTAACTCCCACTGTAAAAACTTCAACTTAATTTGGATTTTGTGGGGACGAATAGTAGGAAGTGAGAGCTCAATATTGTTTTTCCCTCTTTTTCTTTTATCTCATTAATGATGTACATGTAGGAGTGTTTTTGGGTCTAGATAGTATGAATATCAATGCTGAATTTATAATGGTACAATTAATGTCTTGAGTTTACTGGCTGAGATATGCTCATTTCTTGAATGGCGTACTTTTTGTTATCAGATCCAATATTTCTATTTTCACCGCTGGCCATCCATACACGAAACTTGTTGGCTGAACCTAGATGCAGTCTCGTTGTCCAGGTAACATTGGCTTTAGTGTTTTAACTAAGCAAAAGGTTTTCCCTTTTTGTTCTGTAACTGGATATTTGTCTGGCAGATGCCCGGATGGAGTGGCTTATCGAAGGCAAGAGTGACATTATTTGGTGATGTTTACCCATTGTCAGAAGATGAGCAGGTAGGTGTCTGGCTACTTTTTGCCTTTTTTTCAATTCATGGTTGTCTATACATGAATCTATCTTGAGTTTGGGTCGTAATATTTC